CTCACTCGTTTGACGGTGTACAGCGAGCTTCGCTCCTGTGTGCCAATATGTCACTGCAAAAGCTTCTCATGCCATGATTTTGCTACGAATCAGTCCTGCATTGCTCATTAACCGTTGTTCTAAGTGGGAATTGCCAGTGTAACCAGATAGTACTCCACTATTCTAAGTGGGAATTGCCAGTATAATCAGATAGTACTCCACTATTACAAAATTGTAGATAATACTCATCTATTATTACTAAAAACGAGCTTAAAATATTCCTAATAGTCGGACCGGACTATTAGTTCCCTATTTTTTACTTGGCTATTACATATTACCAGACTATTACCGCTCTCTGCCCCCTACATGTATGTCAATTTCGTAACAGCAGCGAAAAGTTTCCGACGGTAATAAATCGTTCTTGTCCTCGTCTTACCACATCAAGGTTATCATGCTTAGCTGTGTAGCATTGATGTCCTTCCCAGAGAATGGTGAGAAAGTCTATACATGTAGTCGTTCCAGAGACGAATGATACATGCCCACTAAGTTTTGCGTGCGTCAAAGGCATAGGAATAACTGACTCTATTGATCAAAAATACTAAAGGATACATCAACAAGACCGGATATTTTTATGAGTTCTTCCTCTTGGTCGTTGTGTCGATTCTGTGAATTACTCGTCGGCGCTGTGACTTACATGTAACGAGCGAAGCATCAAACAATGGGCTCAAGTCATTACCTCAGAACACTGAATGAAAATATGATTGTCACCTTTAGAGTCCAGCTCGCATACCAGTGAACCTACGATACTTCTACTCAGAATTATTTCGTACTACTACAGTAGTTCGTAATGGGGGAGTCAGAACTAGCATTTTCGAGGCGATTATTTTGCGAAATGGTCGACCATTTTTTGATGGTCGACTCACATCTCATTTCCGAAATGGTTTACTTGTTTAGGTGAACCATTTCGGAAATCGCTAACCATTTCTTAAATTGTTGACCAGTTTTGGGTAATCGTCACTCTGATAATTATATGAATTGTATGCAAATTGGATCTTCAACTTCGCCGTGCACCGTAACAACCCTTGCATGCGGAAAGCGAGCGTTTGAGAGCATTTGCATTACCCAGCTTCGCTCTAAGCAGCCACACAAGATGTCGCTTGCTCTCTGATGCACGACAGCTTACATTGATGCTGCAAGGTACCATACTGAGTGCTAAACTGGCAGAAAGGTACAAAATGCAGGTTCTAGAAGTACAACGGCATGGTTTTATGGTCCATGGACCAAACAAGCACCTACAAACGCTGGGAGGGGTGAGGCAAGGACATATCTAGATACAGTGTAAACCGTGTCGCATCCTCCATATGCTGGCAGTGAGCCACCATCGACCGCCGACCTTGGTGGCAACGTGCACTAGAAAGCCAACAATAAAATATGGTCATCTATTTCAATTGTGACCGTAATTTTCGTACCATATCTCAATCCTGACTCCCCCTAATAGAAGCAGTATCATGCTCTAAGACTGTCAATATAAATATACACTAAAGTGCTCAATTCTATGGTACAATAGTTGGTAGTTGTTCTTGGTCGAGTTATCCGTGCGGTGGAATATAAGAGCGTACAGCTGGAAGGTGTTGGTAGTGAGCTAATATGTGGACAGACAAATTTGAAAGCGAGCACACAGTACCTTTAGCTGCGTCAACCAGATTTCCGAGTTTACGTAGCATCGGTCAACACGTCCGACTGACTCATGACTCTTGCAATCCGGTGGCAGGGTCACTTCTTTCAAATGCTCTACCACGCACGACAAGCGTTTGGTCGAGCTGTTCATCGACTAAATTCCCACGAGTATCTGACCCGCTGGTGAAGAGAAGAAAAACATCACAATTTGTTCCTGTGAGATGGAAAGATTAGTTGCCTTTGTAGCGATTAAAGGTCCACTTCGACACTTGAGTACCAGCGTGATATCTGCTTCCAGTATTGTAAGTATCATCTTGTCCACGCCGTATGAAACGTTAAACGCTACATTGGTGTAAATGACGTTCGAGTCCTCAATGGATATCGGGTTGTGGTAGTGATTCATCTTCGAACGCAAGACTCACAAGACTCTGCATACCGAAGCAAGAAAATCGAAAATATTCGACTACTACTCCACGAATTTGGGTCGTCACAGAATGTTGGCGCTGCTCAAGTCCATTGATCTTAGTTTACCAGCCTCCTCTTTAAGAATGAGCATAATGTTTTTCAAATATCGAATGGTGCAGTCGGTATAGCTCTCGCAGTCGTAATTTCTCCAAGATTGCAAGCTCCGCCATAGCAAAGTATTAGTAGTCATTTATCTGAAGTATTGGCGCTCTTGTAAGCGATGATGTTGTTTCTCGGT